AGTATCAAAAAGAAGGATTGATTAGGACATTGCACATCACTGGTAAGACATAATTTTGTCCATTTTGGCCTCTTAACACTCATTGAAATTTATAACTTACATAAGTTGATTTAAGGCATGACAGTGACAGATAAAACCAGTTTCTTATTGTTAAAAAAAATATCCTTTTGTATCTTATACATGTATGGCCAAACCCCTCTAGGGTTTTTTTTTATCGCTATGAAATTTCTGTTAAACACATTTCCTCAGCTTTTTCTAAGAAAATATTCTCTAAAATAATCCTCCATCTCATTTTTGATCTTCCTCTGACAAATTAACTACTTTATATATTTAAAACAATATTTAAGACCAATTAAACAACTTTTGTCATAAAATTTTATTTGAAATAATTATTTAACACCTAAATCTGAAAACAGATACACTGCCCTTTGAAGATCATAATTCCTCATTTCTCTCCAACTCTTCCATTTCTTTTTTAGTTATGGTCCTTCCATTGCAAAGACAAGCATTGCGCTGGGCTTCTTTATAGGATGCACATCCCAAAGCAAGTGTTCCTGAGTACATTAGATCTGCCGATGTCTGGCATGCATCCAACTGCTCCTTTGGTAGTCTATTCCCCAGACCTGTTAAAAGACACTCGTTGTCTAAACAGGATTTAAAGTCATCATAGCATTGGGTGCGATCATTGTTGCACGTGTCGTAGCAGATGTCATGGAGATCACAGCATTTTGTAAAACCAGCAAAATTGGAAGTGTCAAGCTGAAATAGAATGAGGAAATCTTAATAGGGACATTAAGAGAACAACATTCATGTAAAAATAAAGATCACTGTCGTTTCTATAAGTTGAAACATTATTGTCACAAATATGGTTGCTTAAATCTGTAAAAAGGTGTTTTTCAATTTAATTAAAGGAAATGCTTGAGAAAAGAGTATAGTTATTCTCTTGTTATTATGACTGTGTTGTATTCGTGGTGAAGACACTCTGTGTTTTCAATGCCTCTCTACCCAGCAGTCTTAACAGTCCTGTTTGTGGCACACCTATAAATGGATGTCTCACTGATTATGGTGCTTACCAAGCCAAACTTCTGCTCAGAGAATCTGAATCCATACTTTTCTTTCTACAATGTAAAGGTTAGGTCTGTATACAAGCCATGTGGCCCTATTAGGTGAGGACTTATCTCTGGTTTCCCTAGCATGAAGGAACATGGAGTACAGAAAGTCCATCAAAAGGTTACCCCCTAGCATAAAATTCACCGGTACCCATTTAAACACCTGGGTGAAGAGAGGCACTTTGAGGGTGAAGTGTATTGCCCAAGCACACAACACAAGGACCCCAACCAGGGCTCAAACCTGGACCCTTTAATCTGGAGTGGAGTGCACAACCATGAGGCCACAGCACCTCCACAAATTTTCATTTTTATTTTATTTAAACCATACCTTTATTCCCATGGAGCCACATCCATCACTTGAGGGTTTATGCTTTGGGTTAGTAAGGGGTTTATAGGCTGAAAGGAGAATACAATGGAGAACAATCTGATACTTTGTCCTTTGAATACATTAGAGCCAAAATAATGTGTTATCTGAAGGTATAGAAATGTTTTCAAGAAATACGCATAGCGCATAGTCTATAAAGGAAAAGGGGATAAGTTTCTTAAGAATCTGTGGTGCTACCTTATTTGAGGGGGGGGGGGATTTCTCCAACAAAGGTCAAATGCTCCAAACATCAGCTTAAGAAACTCATTAATCCCTTTACAGTGGCCAATTTACATTCATCAACTCAGTTGATAAAACCAAATTTTCTTGCATTACAAAGAGTTAACTTTTGATGATAAAAGCAAGAAACAATTTGAGTGTTCCTTGGTCATTTTTACACCCCAATCTCTTCCCTTTTTTCACAATGATAAACCCTCTTCTGTCTAAATATGACCAGTTAATCAGGTCTGATGGGGCAACATAAATTTAGAAATACTGCCACGACACAGATGTAGAAACAAATGACTTTATCATTGTATGGGTCATATGTGCTTGTTGGGGTGAACAGCTTTACATGTAGCAGTTTGTTTCATTTAACCTCAAGTCCTCAGAGCTATGATAATAAGAAAATATGGCAGACATTAGGAAGAAATGATATGAAGATCTTTCGAATGAAATATTACAACTGGGTAATTATTTTCTAAGTAATTTAGTTATTGGTGGTAAACACAGATTGGCAGGTGAATAAATGATCTCAAATGAACCAATCAAAACGTACCATGTCAGCTAATTGAAATACAGTCAAAAGGCCAACTGCTGCAAGACGACGTTTCTTTCTCATGAACAGACTTGTTTAGATAATACTTAAAAGTTTTCAGTTCATCTGAGAGAATAGCTACAGCAATAAATAACAATGGGTTACGTTTTATTTTCTAGATTTATTGTCATCTCAACTGATCATAAGATTTAGATCTCGTTTAGTGAAGCTTCAAACCTCTTGTCTTGCAAGTAAGAGTCACTTTTGAAATACCAAGTTGAACACAAGGTCTGATCGTTTTTTCTTGTGGTGGGTTAAATCAGAGCTTAACAGTGAAAATGTACTTATCTTTTTTTCTTTTTTTTTTTTTTTGATGAAGTAAGGGTTATAC